TTACTTGTTTTCCTCACCTCAAAAAAAGTATGAAAATGTAAAAACATAAAACTGAGATGTTGAATTGTTTGAATTTTAGATGTTTTATGATGATTTTTATACTGTCACCACATGCATYCTTACAGGTTTGTAGTTTTAGGCTGGTTACCCTGACAAACTGTTTCCTTCTTTAAAGACACTAGCCTGTGTACAGCTCTTCCAGCTACCACCGCAGGCACGTGATTTGTAGTACTCAAAGAGGTTTTTAATATCTTTACTTGAAATTCAACATTTGATTCAATCAACTCCAACAGATGAGCAACCCTTGAAGTGTAAAATTGAATAATTCAGGACTGAATTGGTTAATTTCAAAATGTTGTTTTTTTTCTTCTTTTTTTCTTTTATTCTTTTTTGTGACAAATTAAAAGGCCTGTTTATCTTAAGTAACTCCTAAACTCTGATTTACAAGATTTTCTATATTCTCTCATATTCTAAAGCATTTTGTCACTATTTCATAAAAAAACATTTAAATGATTATTAGCGCACAGAACAGTTGGTCATGTCTGAAATAYGCACAAGCATGGATTTTACAAGTAATGTGTTGCTATTTATTACAGTTGTTTGTAATATAGATGTCGAGCAGAAAACCAACATCAAAATAACTTCTGTGACAGAAGCTGTAGGAAATATCCGTCAATAAGCAGTTTTAGTCCAAAAGTTATAGTTTGTTCTTTTTTTGATTTTTATTATTTTGTTTTTGTTTGTTTCAGATGTTGTACCACTAAAGGCACAAAACCATAATGGCAGGACAGTTATAAGAATTAGAGCTCCAAAAATACAGTATTAGTGAAATCATTTCACTTAAACTGCCAGTCCGCCAAGCACAGCCTGAAGACACCCTCTGGAATATCCCTTTGTAACATATGCCTAATTGTTTACCCCTGCTTGTTTACATAAATAGAAAAAAAAATGCTGCTGGGAAGGATTGTGTGTGTGTGTGTGTGTTGGGGGGGGGGGGTGCAGTGATAAAGGAGGGTTTAGAGTTAGTATATTACGTGACAGAGCTGGAGAATTAATAACAATTTGTGGCAAATAATTACTTATCAATTAAAGCTGTTATCCTGCCTAATTAGGCAACGTTCATTAAATTCAGCCAATTTAAACCTTAATTAAAGTTAGCAGAGCCTGACAGGAGAAGGTCGGTGAAGCAGCGCCCCCCAGTGGAGGAAAGGAGAAGTAAACGTGTCAGCATGCTCTGCTGTTCGTCTTATTATTTTTGTTTAATTAATTAAATCCCACTTTGCTCATTTTAAGCCTGTTTTATAATGATTTGTTTATACGTTTCAAGTGAAGATAATGCATTTAAATATTAAAAAACACAAATTAAAAGCAGTCGAAACTCTGTCTCTCAAAACTCAAATAAGCACAGCACAGCTATACTGCATATTATATATACTTTTTTCAGCATGAAGCTGGAAAGTTGGAACACCACACTAGTAATATGGGTATATAAGATTATTCATAAAGTAATTTTATTTCTTATTAATACAAACACAAATTGCAAAAAAAAATAAAAATGAGAGAAATAATATTTTCTGCTTGTGATATTTAAATTTGGTTGGAGTGTAATTTCCTCAAACTGTACAAAAACATATAAATTTGAGTCTGGCAAAGTTAAAGTTTTCAGGCTTTATAAATTATTATTAGCACAAACACAATTAACAGACAAAATAAAAAAAATGTTCAAATTGTTCAAAATTGTTTGTAAGGTGTTTATAATGAATTGTAAGGCAGACTTTTAAAAGTAAAATCAATGTGTATTTTCCTATAACACATAACCTATCAAATTAAAAATGTTTGCAGTGAACAGATAAAATACAAACTCTGGCATCATTCATCAGTTGTAAAATCTCCCTTTAGGTATATAACGTGGTGCCAGTCTCCACCACCCTCTGGCCTGTCAGGACTGATTTTTACATTTTTATTTATTTATTTTTTTTGTAAAGCCTCATTCCCCACAACGTTGTGGCCATTTGACARCAAAACACACGTTTCACAGGCCGAGAGGCACAAGGATCGAGTTAATTAATATTGGCTCTTGTTTGGTCGAGTTAATGAATGAGTAAATTATGCACCTCTGGGACACCGCCTCCCCAATCGCTTTAAATTATCCCCCACACCACTCTTCTGACATTGTCCTCCAATTTCCCAGCTCTGATCCTCCACTGATGGGGTCTCCAACCAGATCACACACACACACACACACACACACACACACACACACACACACACACA